AAGGGAAGTAACTTTCCATGTCCAAGATAACCTTTCATTAATCATGAATTCACATAACTTCTGTCTAGGTGGACGAGTACTCCTGCTAGTTTATAATAAAACAATAACATTATGCAAATCTAAACCTTTTTTTTTTACATCTTAATTGTATAATCAAAATATTTCTCTTTATTACTTATACAAAAAAAAAATGTGAAATGCTTTAAGAATATAGTTTTAAGATTTTGTGTTCGTTATAAATGAAAACGTCAATCTTTGGACAAAGTTCTTCACACATGTTAGAGGTGAAATCAAGTCATATTTTGTTACAGGCTTCAGTTAAGAGTTGTTTGTGTTTTGCTACAGGTTTCAGCTATTGACTTGGATGTTATTGAAGTAGACCCTGATACTACTGAGATGTTGAAACAAATGGTGAGTGATTTTATTATTAAAAATGTTTTATGGTATTATTAATTTTCACAATATTCACAGTAAGCCAGTCACAAACATGAACAGTTAATATTCTAATGGTATATCTACTATGACAGTTGTCTCTAAGGTAGACTTTCATATCTGTTTTAAACATTTATATTTCGTTTAAAGATATACACACATCAATTATATCTGTTTAAAGATACACACATATAATTATATCTGTTTAACGATATATCAATTATATCTGTTTAAAGATACACACATATCAATTATATCTGTTTAAAGATATACACACATATCAATTATATCTGTTTACAGATACACACACACATATCAATTATATCTGTTTAAAGATACACACCAATTATATCTGTTTAAAGATATATCAACAATATCTGTTTAAAGATACATACATATCAATTATATCTGTTTAAAGATACATACATATCAATTATATCTGTTTAAAGATACATACATATCAATTATATCTGTTTAAAGATACATACATATCAATTATATCTGTTTAAAGATACATACATATCAATTATATCTGTTTAAAGATATACATATATATCCCACAATCCCAAAAACCATTAAAAAACCGGGTTCCTAAGAAAAAAATTAAAGCATCTGAGCTCACACGTTCTAAATAAAATTTGTCTCATCACGAGTTATGCAATGTATGAGCTTTTCATACACCCTATATACATATAATTCTTATGTCATTACGTGTGTATCTTTAAACAGATATAATTGATATGTGTGTATCTTTAAACAGATATAATTGATATGTGTGTTATCAATTATATCTGTTTAAAGATATGTGTGTATCTTTAAACAGATATAATTGATATGTGTGTATATCTTTAAACAGATATAATTGATATGTGTGTAACTTTAAACAGATATAATTGATATGTATGTATCTTTAAACAGATATAATTGATATGTGTGTATATTTAAACAGATATAATTGATATGTGTGTATATTTAAACAGATATAGTGGATTTTCGCATTATAATAATTTATAAACTTTCAAGTACTGTTTATATAGTTTCAAAACTTTTGAGAAGACTATATTACTTCAAAAAGAATGGTATCATTAATATTAAAGGTTTAAATGACTTATTGAAAGGAACTATTTTTATGTTTCAGGATATGGAAAAGATCCCAGGCTTGCAGGTTACACCTTTACTTCCTTTCCATGGTGGACCTCGTGCATAAACTCTGTTAGTTTTCAATAAAGATTTGAGTTACTGAATGAATGAAGGTCTATACTTACTCCGTGAGAGTAATCACACTGTAATAAACAGCTGCTACAGTATTTTTAGATATTAATTTAGTATCATTAAACATCAGAATGATGGAACGTTTTTCTTTTCAAAAATTAAACAATATATGATCATTTTTATCATTAGTTCTTTATACTACCTTTAGAAATACAATAATATAAACATACCGTATATTAAACATTTCATGGATTACATTAAAAGCAGGCACATCAGAGTAATATATTAGTGTATTGTAGCTTACTCTAGTTGGCCCCTTTTTATACAAAACAAAACATATGCTTTGATGGTTGAGTGTAAGATGTTTATGTTAATGTAAAACTTTATTTTTGCTAGTACTTCCCCTCTTCTTAAAATACTTGGTTGTTTAATCATTTTCGATGATGTCAAGGTAACAGTATGTATACCTTGTAGTTGTACTTGATGTGTCAGAGGGTGTTCGATCATTTGTTCAACAAAGTACACTTAGAGAAGTGAAAACCGTGAAACAAAAATTGCATTAGTTGGACACATCCTGAAATTGTGATTTGTAAATTTGTTTTTTATGACAATTATTTTTGAAATATATTATTGATTAGTGAATCTTGACTGATTTTTAAAAGTTTATTATCCACCAGAAATTTAAATTCATAACAAATACTTTTCAGTTTAACAAACCTAGAAATATACATGTTGAACTCTCCTGTAAAGTAGACTGATATTTATAAACATTTAAACTTACGTGTGAAAAAATACAAAATTTTTTTTATTCCACTTGTGCTAATTTTATATAAATATTGATTTAATGCAACATGATATTTTCTTGCCTGTACTTATCAAAAGACATGAGACCTAGCTTCAAAATATCACTCAAATGGTGATTTTAACGTGTGCATATATTAGGAGGCCAGCACTGAGACTGTAGAAGATATTCTGATCGATAAAGTATCCCAGTGGTTTAGCAGTAAATCAGTAGGCTTATAATGCTAAAAACAGGGTTTTGATACTCGTGGTGGGCACAGCATAGATAGCTTGTTGTGTAGCTTTGTGCTTAATGAACAAATCAACTGGTAGGTAACTATAAATGTCGTACTATAGTACATCAATCACAAAGGTTAAAATATAAAGCTTGTAAAAGTGACGCTTCAAATCATGTGTATTGCTTCAACTGGTATATAATAAACTGCCCTGAAAGGAAAAGCCTTGCACTTGGCAGTGGTACAAATACCTGATATAAGAATGCAGATTTTAAATGATATAATTGTCAGTTTTTATGTATGGGCAGGATTCTTCACAGTAGGTGTCTGTAGTTTGTTGGTGATAAATTTCAACAATAAACAACCAGCACACAGTCCACTTGCTTTAAAATAATGTATTAAAACAAGTCAAATGTATATACAAATGTTTATTACACTGTTGGTTATCACAGTTGTATCCAAAGCTTTAAATAATTGTGTCTTCTTCTTGTCCTTTGGTGGGTAGGTCTACCGACTTACAACGCTAAAACCCGGGATTTGATTCCCTGTGGTAGACACAGCAAATAGCCCAGTGTGGCTTTACTCTAAGAGAACCAAACCAGACTTTTTCGTCAAAGTCCACACAGGCTAGTTCAATTACTTTAGAACACAATTTGTCAAGAATTAGTTTTCTCTATTCTGTTATTACAATACAATCTGTGATAATTTCACTATAAGATCGCCACTGTTGCTATTTATCTATCTCACATTGCACAGTTTTGCATCACAAGTAAATCGCTGGTGCATTGTAGTCGAACAATGCACAAGAAACTGAGTACAGACCAAAAATTACCATGCAATTCTTGAAGAGTTTACAGAAAGTAGAATACGTGCATAATCACAAAACCTAATCAAACCATGATAGAGAATTTACCTGGTTGAAAATTCTCCCAATCCATGATAACCATTTTTGTGTTTCGTGATCTGTCAATATCACGTTTATTTTTTACTTTCATGTTTTATTCTTTATGAGGACGTTTCTTAATTATTGGCTTTACATTACTTCAGTCACCTCCTTTATATAAATCTTCAGTAAGGGCTATTTTCACATAGTCGTCCTTGATGTCGAACTGACTGATTAAAGGAAAGGCCGTTAGCCAACAGACTTAAGTACAGCCATTCTGACCTGGAGCAAACGTGGTCCAGTAATTATAGTGCTGGATAATGAAATCGTGGTTCACATTTTATTAAAGCCAAAAAATTCTCTGCTCTTTGGGACCAAGGATGTGCTGTAAGAGTGATGGTCAAATCTTCTCACAATTCAATTACAATAGCCCATGAGTTAATGGTGAGTTTTGGCTAGCTACTTCCCCTCAAGTCTGTTACTTCAAAGTTATGAAGAATGACTATCACCAATATCCATTCAACAAATAACATCTATGGTTGAAAAGTAGTATTTGACTGTCTCCAGAACGCATTTTTTGAGGCAACATTATTCAAACCATGAACTCTTGGTTTCTAAGTCTCAGTATGCTAACCACCTGTCCATTGTGAGGAAACTGTAAGCTTATTTATCAAAAATTTGAAGTAATTTACTTATTCTTTGATAGATTGTTTAAGTTGAGTATTCATGATGAAATTTGGTTGAATGGACGGCAACTGCCTTTCGTTTTCAGGTCGCTTCGTCTATCTATTCTTTGTCCATCATTAGATTAAACCTCCCGACATTTTATACTAAAAAAATGTCAAAACACACTCTTAGACACTATTGAAATATGTATGCCTATTTTGCTATTTAGTTATCATTAATACTGTTACGTCTGTGTTCGTTTGTTAATTTTCCGCTGAAATTCTTTTCTAAGAACTTCAGCGATACAAGTCCTTTCTTAAATAAAACTAGTTTATTCTTTCTCAATACAACTTTGCAATACACTTAATTTCCACAGTCACTTTAACTTATAATTTACACACTTTACTTACGGCTTGACTCAATCGATTATCTGTCTATATCTTCAATCTCTCTTCCAGTTCCGATTAATCGTCTCGCTTTATCTGGCGCGCTTATATACAGGAATAGAGAGCGTCTACCAAAAACTGAATTATTCGTAATGTTCCCCGATCCTTCTAGAAACTCATCACGTGTTACCAGAGTCACGTGGCTTCCGCTGTCGTAACAATACTTTAAAATAAATGCTGAATGTTATTCGAATGACCGAGCATACGAATAATGAATTGAAACGCTCGGTAACTATTGAAATATATATAAATGCCTACTTTGCTCCTTTAATTACTCGTAATACTTTAAAATAAACTGAACTTTATTATTCGAATGATTGAACATACCATTAGTATATAATACGAATAAAGCAAGTATTTCATTAATCAAAGAAAGTGCTCTTTTTAGGGTTGAATTTGTTTAAATAAGCAAGTTAACTTGTTTGTTTGTAGTTAAACACAAAGGGCTATCTGTGCTCTGCTCACCACTGTTTATAGCAGTACAAGTCAAAAGTTAACTTGTTTGTTTGTAGTTAAGCTCAAAGCTACACAAAGGGCTATCTGTGCTCTGCTCACCACGGTTTATAGCAGTACGAGTCAAAAGTTAACTTGTTTGTTTGTAGTTAAACTCAAAGCTACACAAAGGGCTATCTGTGCTCTGCTCACCACGGTTTATAGCAGTACAAGTCAAAAGTTCTATTTGTGTAAATTCCACTCAAAAGAGTGCTTTCTTTGATTAATGAAAATTACTTTTTAATAAATTGAATAAAAATGCTGAGTCAACTCTTACTAAATGGATTTATATTGCGACGTTTTGATTTTAAGGTCACTAAAGGCATTGATCAAATTACAACGTATTTTGAAATGACTGTCACAAAGTAATCCTATATTTTTATATAGGAGTACTGTGTGAGCAAAAGACATTTCCAAATACCATATATATAATATGCGCTCCACCACTATTTTAAGCCTAATCTTATCCTTTCGATTTGCTCTTATCTAGTATTACCGACGAGAAGTAAAATACTCCGAAACTAAATGACAAGAAAATCGACTAACAGACTGGACTCCACATTCATTATTCAGTAAAATACTTTAGGTACTAGTAATAAACAACATTATAACACCTGATTTGTTATGTTTTAACTGGACCCTCAACGTTTCGCTTTACAGCTTCTTCAGGAGCGTTCTAATAAAACACAAATGGTTTGTGTTTAAGTTAAGTACGCCTGAAGAAGCTATAGAGCGAAACGTTGAGGGTCCAGTTAAGTAAAAATAATAAATTTGTGTTATAATGTTGTTTATTACTTGTATTAAAATATCCTTTATACATCAATATACACTTTAAAAATTAAAGTATTTCGGGTCTTTAGATAACATGAGACAGAAATTCACAAATAAGCAGTTGTTGGAATTCGACCATTGCCTGAACTCGGACTAAAGTCAATAACTTAAACTGTCTATTAAACAAATATATTGTGAAATTTTGAAATCACAAGTAAAAAACAATAAACAATTATTGAATATTGTCAGTCTTGGAAATGACAAAGACAACATATTCAATTGTTGTACAATAATGTTTCGTTTCCAGGTTAGCTACTGCAGAATTTCATTTAAAATTGTGACCTTGTAGAATCATGGTCCAAACAAAACAAGATGAAGATAATACAATTATTCTGGCAGCTCAGATAAAAGGTAGTTTAATCACAGCTATTTTATGACGAAATAATGTTCGCCTTGTATTCATTTCATCAGTTAATAATTATCAATGTTTACTAGCAACTGTAATAGTATTAAGCTCAACTATAAAATATATTAACGGAAGTAATTACTGTAGTGGAAACTTTGGTGATTATTCTAGAAAAAATTGTTTTTTACCCATTTTACTCACAAAAAGTTGTGTAGTTTAGGCGAGCTCACACTAAGATCATCTATTTGTAGATAAATATCCTTTGAATTATAACTGTAATCAGGGTTAGTCTCCTCATAACAGTTCAGTGGCGTAGTAAGCAGGGGGACCTGCTCCCACTTTTTAATCTGCCCCAGTAAAAATGCATCAAGATTATGAAAGATGCTCTCAGGAAAAGCAGGATAATGGACAAAATTTAATCTAGAACTAAAAAGATTCTAGGGCCTTGAGGCGAGCCCTGGACTCCAGCCGAAATGGGTGCGCCTGTGGCACACATTCCTTCACTCCGCTATATCAAATAGGCCTCCCGCATTAATTTGCCTTCAAGACTTATGCTGAGTGAATGGACTATATAAGATTACCCAACGCAGAAATAAAATAGCAAGATTAAAATTTTCAAGACAAATAAGGGTATGGAAAAAGTATGTTTCCTCAAAAATAATGGGTGGATGACGTCCACTCGAGTCTTAACATTGATTCTTATTACGAGCCGCGTACTATGAAACATATTGCGGTTTTTTAAGTTACGTTGGAGGATGAAACATTGGAATCCAGTAAGTTTAATTTTTCTGATAAAAATCACTTAGATTTCAGGCGTTTTTATCACAGATATTAAGTCTTTTGAATTTCAAAACGTCTACAGTTTTCGGCGTTTAAACCGTAATTTTAAAATTCACGTATTGAATTTACAAATATCGTATCAGATAGACGTTTGATTCTCGTTGTCCAGTCTAGCTAACGAGTGCTAGTATTGATGAATGGCCTTCTGGGCGAAGGCTTGAAGGAGACTAAAAATAGGCCTGTATTAGTATTCTTATACACCCCTCGCTTGGGCGAAGGCTTGAAGGAGACTAAAAATATGCCTGTATTAGTATTCTTATACACCCCTCGCTTGGGCGAAGGCTTGAAGGAGACTAAAAATATGCCTGTATTAGTATTCTTATACACCCCTCGCTTGGGCGAAGGCTTGAAAGAGACTAAAAATATGCCTGTATTAGTATTGTTATACACCCCTCGCTTGGGCGAAGGTTTGAAGGAGACTGAAAATAGGCCTGTATTAGTATTCGTATACACCCCTCGCTTGGGCGAAGGTTTGAAGGAGATTAAAAATAAGCCTGTATTAGTAATCATATATACCCCTCGCTTGAGCGAAGGTTTGAAGGAGATTAAAAATAGGCCTGTATTAGTATTCTTATACACCCCTCGCTTGGGCGAAGGTTTGAAGGAGACTAAAAATAGGCCTGTATTAGTAATCGTATATACCCCTCGCTTGGGCGAAGGTTTGAAGGAGATTAAAATAGGCCTGTATTAGTATTCTTATACACCCCTCGCTTGGACGAAGGCTTGAAAGAAACTTAAAAATAGGTCTAAGTTAGTATTCTTATATACCCCTTGCTTGAAAACTCGTACTTTTGTTATATGGACGTCATGACGTTTTGAAAGGGAATGTCGCTGTTTACGAGGTGCTAACTGGAGCAGGGTCGTTTATGTAGAACAATGGTACAAAATCTTTTTCATGGCGCATCTTCTTCTAATCATGGGTTTTGTTGCACGTGCACCTCGTATTACCCATCTGTGTTTATACTATAGATGTCATTTTTCCAAGTTAATTGTTGTTATTATATTACTTAATAAAATTCTCTTTACATTCTAGCCTTACAGCTTAGGCATTGGTCAGCTAGAGTATTCGGCGTCTTACAAGTGAAAGCTGATTTTCTCGGGGTTCTCCCCACCCCACATCGGATTTTCTGGCATTGGATCCTCGGGTCCCGCCTCCCAGAAAAGGGCCTTTTCTTATGCCCCTAAGGCTTGTCAATTAAATATATATTCAAAACTGGTGTGTTTGATTGATGATCTTCGTTCAGTCGTCGATTCTCCAGTTTACTTCCTCCTACTTCTTCAATTCTCCAGTTTACTTCCTCCTACTTCTTTAATTCTCCAGTTTACTTCCTCCTACTTCTTCAATTCTCCAGTTTACTTCCTCCTACGTCTTCAATTCTCCAGTTTACTTCCTCCTACTTCTTTAATTCTCCAGCTTACTTCCTCCTCCTCCTTCTTCAAAGCTCCAGTTTACTTCCTCCTACTTCTTCAATTCTCCAGTTTACTTCCTCCTACTTCTTTAATTCTCCAGTTTACTTCCTCCTACTTCTTTAATTCTCCAGTT